GGTGTATTAGGTCCATGTAGGAACAGGCCAAAATGAAACCAATTATTCATATGCTAATACAATTAAAACAAAGGAAACAACTTAGATATACTGAATGTGAATCTGCATATTAATAAATTAATAAATGATCTACATACTTTAGGAAGCTATGTTGGAGGGATATGCACATTACTGGAAGATATATGTTTTATCCTTAGTGAATCCACTGAAGGAAATATTTTTAAAAGCCAAATATTAGAAAATCTCACATGCTTCTGTTACTGTGATGAAAGTCCTGAAACCCCAGGAGTTCCCAGACAGCCAAAGGAATCAGCAGCGCATCTCCACAGAGGGGAGCCCTCGGCGCTGCAGCAGCCTGCTCGTCTGTCACCCCAGGCCTCAGCACGTGGGATGGAGAGTTGGGCATCGGCATACTTTATCTGGACCCCACCCCCTCTACTCCTCCGCCTGGCCTAAGCCAGCATCTCTTCATGTGGTCAAAGTTAACAAGTTATACTGGAAACAAAAGACCAGTCAACTGCTACGCACTGAAAACACAGATTCACTTTGGAATGTCCATTCTTTTAATTTCCTCCATGGCTCCCAAATGCCTTTTCCTTTTTTTTTTTTTCAGACTTAATTCATTTTATTTTTGCATAAAAACCCTTTATGTTGTAGCTACTGCTGGAGTTTGAGTCCTCTGGACAGAAACTCTGGTGTGGGTTTTCACAAGATGGTCGGTGAATTCCTGATAGGGAGACTTGGTGAGCACAGTCTCTTTCCAGAGGTCAGGGGTCAGGTAGCTGTAGTTCTTGGAGTTGGCATGAAAGGTGGCCTTAGCAAAGTTGCCCAAAGTAGCAGTGCAGCCCCTAGCAGAGGTGCAGCAGTCATCAATACCAGCCAGCAGCAGCAGCTTCTTGGGCACAGGGGCTGAGATGATGCCAGTGCCTCTGGGGTCAGGGATCAGACACACCAACGCAGAGCCACAGCAGCCCGTCACCTTGCAAGGAACAGTGTGGGGCTTGCCGATCTTGTTTCCCCAGTAGCCTCTCCTCACGGGGACAATGGAGAGCTTGGCCAGGATAATGGCCCCACGAATGGCAGTGGACACTTCCTTGGAACACTTTCCACCCAGGCCAACATGACCATTATAGTCCCCAGTGGCGACAGATGCCTTGAACCTGGTCCGCTGGCCAGCACGAGTTTGCTTCTGCACAGGCATGATCTTCAGAACTTCATCCTTGAGAGATGTGCCCAGGAAAAAGTCAATAGTCTCGGACTCCTTGATGGGCAAGGAAAAAAGGTAAATTTCCTCCAGGGACTTGATCTTCATGTCTTTGACCAGACAGCCCAGCTTGGTGACCGGAATCCACTCTTTGTCCTTGGCCTTACCGCCTCGAACCCCGCGGCCTCGGCCTCGGCCCCGGCCCCGGCCTCTGCCGTGCCCGCGACCTCGAAGGCCACTGCCAAAGCCTCCGCGGAAGCCGCCGCGGCCTTCCGTGCCTGGGCCCCCGGGACCTCCGGCCCCTCCTGCTGCACCGGCGTCATCCGCCATTTGGTGTTTCCCAGAAAAAGAAGGCTAAATGCCTTTTTGAAGCCATTTTTTACTTTTCTCTTTTACTTTCCTTCTATATTTGTTGCAGTTGTTGGTATTCTGCTAAGACCTATTACACGCCAAATAAAAGTGGAAGATGTTTGTTTGTTTTCTCTCTGTGTGTGTGTGTGTGTGTGTGTGTGTGTGTGTGTGTGTTGTACTGAGAATCCAACTGAAAACCTTCACCCTTTACCACTGCTTGATATCTCTTGCCTCACAAAAACTTTCATTTTTATTTTTTGAGACATGCCTATGTTATTCAGGCTGGCCTTGATCACATGATGCTCCTGTCTGTACTCCTGAGCGCTGGGATTCTACGCGTGCACCTGTTTACCCAAGAAGAATTAGTTTTTATCTCATCTTGCAGCATTACTTTCACATTTTTAAAATGCTTCATTTTAAAATAAGTTCTAGGGGCCGGGGAGATAGCTCAGTAGATTAAGTGCTTGCCTGGCAAGTACCAGGGCCTGAGTTCAATCCCCGGTTCTGCAAAAAATAAATAAATAAAATAAGTTCTAGACCAATCAAAATCAATTTGAAATATTATATGATATTGATGGTCTAATAACATAGCATATTATTTTTCTTATTATACTATAGTAGCAATTAAAGAAATTTTGGGTAACTATTAAAGTAATTATTTTTTGTTTAAGGAAATAAAAAGCATTATGAGAAGACTACTTAAAGATAACATTATTATAAGTATCATCACAATCCCAAAGTTTTTAACCTAAGAGGTTTTTGTTTGTTTGCTTTTGTTTTGTATTTTAGGGAAAGGTCTACAAGTTATTCAGGGTCTCACCACTAGATCAGACTCATAGTGATCTGCCTGTTTACTGCCTTCCAAGAGCTGGGATTACAGACGTGCATCACCATGCCCAGTCTCAATTGCTGTCTCAGTGTGCCCCCAGGGCCGGGCCAGCAGGGCAGGCCCGAACTCCCAGCCCCTGCACCTGCTTGTAGATGCTTTAATCCATTGAGTTATTTGGCCAGCCCTTAGCCTAAGAGTTGGAAAACGTTTTGCTGAGAGAATCTCAAAGTCAAATGGTGATAATTCAGTGTCTGTCACATTGTCTTACACAGATGAGGATGAGCTGGAACATGGCAGACACACGGAGGACGAGGAGCTGCAGAATCCCTCAGCCCACCAGGTAAGGGAAGTGAGAAGAAGGGACTCAAGTTGGAATGGGAGGGGCGGCATAGGAAGTAGAAGCCGTGTGAGAATATAAACTGCTCTGGTAAAAGCAAACATGGAAACCAATATAAAAAGCAACAATTTGGAGCCTGTGAGATAGCTCAGTGGACTAAGCACAGGGACCAGGGTCTCCATCCCTGTCACCACATGCTGCACAGGCTCCATCCCCTGGGCAAGCTGTGAGACCCTGTAACAAATACATTAAAAAAAAATGTAATTTGGGGGGAAAACTACTTTTTTATTTTCTTACTTTGTCTTTTTCAGTTCTAAAAAGACAAACATAGAAAATAATATTATGGGTTGATAGGAACCTAACATACACAGATTTGCTTTGTGAAATGAATAACTAATGTGGCAGCCATGAAAAGGAGACATGATTTTCATTAATGATGCTGAGATTAATTTGGCATCAACTTGAACTTGATTTTAATAACTAATTTATGACATCATATTTAAATCCCATGATACAGGAAGAATGAGATAGTCAAAAGTGTATTACAAAAAATTAATCATCAAAAGAGAAAGATTATACTAATAGAGCAGAATGCAAAATCTAAGAAATTCATAAACAAATAACATGAACATTCACCCTTCCCTCCCTTCTCTCCCTCTGACCTGGCCACCATTTATGCAGTTTCCTGCACTGGGTCCCTTTTCCTGGCCCATTTTTTGCCTTGGAGCCAACTAACTATGTACAGAAACCACTGCTCACTGAGCCCAAGTAAACTTCTGCTCCTTTACATTGTAGGTGCTGGACACTGTGCTAGCCAGGAGAAAGTCACCAAGACACAGCTGTAGCTGAGCGTTAGCAAGCCTGCCGCATGTGGACATGCCCTGGCTCAACACTCTGCTGGGAAAGATAAAACAAAGAGACAAGGACAACAAAAACCAAGACAAAACCAATGTAAGTGTTAAAGAACAGGTATACTTCAACAGTAAAAAGATGAAAAAAAAAATCTAAAAAACAGGTTTAAAATCAACAAAGGAGAAGTTTACTTCAGTGAGAAAAGAGACTCACAATTTACTGATGTGTCAGAGACAAATCAACAAAACAAAATTAAAAACATGTGTGAACCACACATTAGAAATCTAAAATGCAGGAAAGAGTCATAAATAAAAATGAAAAGAGAAAGTGGCTGCAATGGTCATAGGAGACCTCACCACTGTACTTCAAGTAATCCCAAAATAGGACAAAGATAAATAAGAGAAAGGACCGAGTCTGCAAGTGGCCAACACTGTGGACCAATGGACCTAAGAGGAAGGCACCACACACTCTACCTACAATGGAGAAAAATTTTTTTCAAATGTATGTGGGACTGCTCCAAGATACATCACATTAGGCCAGAAAAAGAATGTTGACAAATTAAAGAAAAAAAAACGCATTTGCAGTATTCTCAGAAGACAGTGGATTAAATTACAAATAAATTGCAGAAGGAAAACTAAAAAATTAACAAACTTGAGAGAATAAAACAAACTTATAAAAAATTAGGTCAAAAATTAATAAAATATTTATATTATGGGAGGGGAAAGGAAAGGAGGAAAAAGAAAAAATGAGAAAAGAAAGGATGGAAACAAAGATTTGTAAATGGGGAGGGTAGCAAGGGCTGAAGGGAGGTGAGGGGGATGAGGAAAAACAAGATATATCATGTACAGGTACTAATTCTCTATTTTGAATGTGAGCATTATACATATATCTAACTTAGCAATAAAATCTGAGTGGAAAGGACAGAAAGGATTTTAGAAAATAGCATGACACAAGTGATAATGAGAACCCAAAGTATCAATCCTACTCGAGGCCACAAATCCTGTAGTGGGTGGAAAATATGTACCTGTAAAATCTTACATTCATAAAGAACAAACTTTTGAAATAAGATTCAGATATGGTGCTCTGATGCAAAAGTCTTACTTTTTCTCTGACCCCCAAGAATTACCATTACTTGCAAGGTCACTGAAAGTGACAGGCACCCTGCCCAAATGCACTTGAATTGTTCTCTGTGATGGGAGAGAGGCCTGGTACCATCATGCTGTCCCAGGGAGAAGCAGAGTCACTGCAGGCAATGAGACCTGCAGTGGTCTGAGCCAGGACACCTAGGGTCACTGAGACTATGCAAAGTGACAGAGAGGAGCCAGCTCTGCAGCTGGGCCAGCCCACACAGCCCTGCTGATTTGCATGTGCAAGGAGTCCAGCCCAGCCCTGCGGGCTTCTTTACAGGCCGGCAGGGCCCTGTGCGGGAGTCCGTCCCAGTCAGGACACAGCATGGCCATGAGGGTCCCCGCTCAGCTCCTGGGGCTGCTGCTGCTCTGCTTCTCAGGTAAGGATGACAACACTGGGAACTTCCTCAATGCAGTGGGAGCAGTACTGGCTGGCTTTTCATGCAAGTCTTGTCAACAAGGTTAATTTGTGACTATTTTTTATTTCCAATGTCAGGTGTGCAAGGTGACATCCAGATCACCCAGTCTCCGTCGTCCCTGTCCAAATCTCCAGGAGACGCAGTCACCATCACTTGCCAGGCCAGTAAGAACATCTATAGTGATTTGGCCTGGTATCAGCAGAAACCAGGGAGAGCTCCCAGGCTTCTGATCTATTATGCAACCAGTTTACAAACTGGGGTCCCAGCCAGGTTCAGTGGCGGTGGGTCTGGGACAGACTACACTCTCACCATCGGCAGCCTGGAGCCTGAAGATGCTGCCACTTATTACTGTCAGCAGCATCGTGAGCTCCCTCCCACAGTGATTCAAGCCATAACAAAAACCTCTAGAGAAGCAGAAGTGTGGGGCTGGGCTGGCCCAGTTGTTCTTCCTGTTGTTTCCACCCACTGAGTCTCTCAGATGCTGCCAGGCTTTGAAGGTCACAGGGAGGATTTAGTGTCAGGCCACTGGAAGGCTTCTCTGCTCTGTAACTTTTCCCTCCACCTCAGCCCTACCATCCATCTGAGGATTCCTTTTCTGATTTAATGAATGGTGGCAGTTATCACACTTCTGTGTGGTCACATCACAGCCATCAGGTGCTTGATGTTTTGTACTTACCTCCTTGAGGGATGCATACGGTGTCAAAAGCATGTTTCTAGCTGTGCGTGTGAGGCTGTTTCCAGACCAGAGTGGAGTGGGATGCAGCAGCCTAGTGAGCTCAGCCTTCCCTGATGATAACAAGCACCACCCACGAGGCTGGCATCGCGGGTGGAATTGAAACACCAAGAGAAAGGGGGACCTTTCTCTTTCACTTTCTATTGTTTTCCCTCTTAAGAGAATATACTTTTTGCTTCTGTTAATCTTGTACACCAAACTACAAGCTTTTATACCTTTGAACTTGGACTTGAACTGGTGGGTCGCTGTCATGGCCCTCTGGGTTTTGACTTGAACTGGGGCCAAGTCCTTTGTTTCTCTGTCCTTCTGAAGCATCAGGCTTCTTGGATCAAGATGCCACTGACTTCCCTGAGTCTCCAGCCTGAAGTCAGGTTTCCTAGGCTGTCGAGCCTCTGTGGCGCTGAGAGCAGATGTAATGAACTCATCCCTGTGTGTAAGTGTATGTTCCATTGTCTCTGCTTTCTGTGGGGAACAAGAGCTAGCAGGAGTATTGTATGACCTAAACAGCAACGGATAATTCATTATAGATGTGGCAATCATGATTATAGAATATAGAATATTAATCCCAGGGGCTGTGGTAGCCAGGCTGCTGGTCATGGGAGGCCCGCCTGAGAATGGCTGCCAGCAGCATAAGAAGCCGCACTGGAGGAGCTGGAAGGAGGCTGCTGGGGAAGCTGTGGGGAGCTGCTGGGGGCTGCTGGTTCTCTTGGGGTGTTCTGCTGGAGGGCCTGGCCATGGTGGCTGTCCTGGTGAACTTCGTTCTGATCAAAGGAGGAGCTTAGGACCTCCCTGTTGTTGAGGATGACTATGGAGCTTTGGGGGAGCTCCGGTTCTCACCTTGAGCGTTGCTTCCTGGATCCAGTGCATCCCCCTCATCTTGCTAGCACAGATCCTTCATCCCACTGGCATAGACTTTCTAGCTTCTACCGCTGACCTTTGGGCCTTTCCAATGCAGGACAATGAAACAGCGTGAGACATTGTCATGGGCTCTACGCTTCCGGTTGCACATGTGGGAGGCATGTTATGAGCTCTGGGTCTGCACTGGACTCATACAGGACATTATCCTGCCATCCAGGCTCTCAGCTGGATTCTTTGGTTTTTAGTATTAGACAGGTTTCCTGCAGTCCTTGTGTATAATTCTTTGAGTGATACATTATAAAATAATCTTATGAATGTGTCCTGTATTGTATTGTTCCCTTGCAAAGACCTCAAACTGCTACAGAAGCTAATAGTAGAATCCCGAGTGTGTCTTCCACTCCCTGCCCAGCCTGAGGAGCCCAGCGGTGGTGCTGATGTTCTCAGCTGACCGGAGCACACTACAGATGCTTCTAGACTTTTCACTTCTGCCTGCCTGCCTTCCTGAAGGCGTGAGGAGAACTGAACCCCCTGTTATGACGTCAAGCACCTAATGAGAGGGCTCCCCACTGAGTAAGTCTTTGGAAATTCTAAAGTGAATAGTCAATTGAGAAATGTGCTTCTAGCAACGTTTTGGGTAGTGGAGAGTGCAGATCTGACCGAGCAACATTACTACTGTGCTCACTCGGCACCTCTTTCTTATTACAGGAATGCTTCAAAGTGTATTTGAATCTGAATCAAATTTTATATGTAAACTTAGGATTCTAGCAGGGTAACTTCAAGAATAGAATACACAGGGAGAGAGCATTATTTGAAGTAAAAAGGAATCATTTGAAAAACAAGTGAAGATTCTTTCATTAAATAATACAATAAAACAAAACCATAAACATACACAGTGGTGCTCTTTTATTATGAAAATGTCTCACTTGTCAAAGCTGTGCAGATACAAATGCAAACAAGCAGAACCTCCATATATAGTGCAGGAGAACCTGCATGTTAACAACATAACAGCAATCCTGAGACTCTTCCAGTCCTATGCTTTAGGGGATGCTTTCTTCTGCTAATTTTTTTAATCAGTGAAATTACTTAATTTTTCCCATTTGCATCACAATGAATTACACTTAGCTTCATCTACACTTTGTCTTCTACTTAGTGCATATATTTGACAATATTTTAAGAATATAAATGTTGAAAAATGTCGTTATTTGCATGATACAATAAAATATGTTATTTATTAAGTAAAAGAAGTATTTGTTAGAAACTTTAGGAATTACTAAAATGTAAGAATAAAGCAAAGCTATGTGACTATGTGTTTGGGGTTATTGGACTTATATCTGCCTGTATTGTTTGATTTGAGAATTTAAAATGTTCCTCAATCTGTCTTGAGGGTGTTGTCCCTTGGGGGTCACAGTCCTCAGTCTTGGCACCAGGTCCCACACACACCAGTAAGCAGGTCGGGGCAGCACTACGGGAGAACTCGGCTTGATCGACCACACCACTGATAGCGTGGGCCACTACCAACATGAATGCCCAGTGTCACAAGCTGTTGGGCTCTGAGTGATTACCATTCACTGTTGAGTAAAAAAATGACCAAGGCAACATTAGCCATTGACTCCTACAAGCAGATGTGTTTTCTTAAAATTAATATCATAAAGAAAATATTGGAAGAAAATGGACTAGAGACAGAGATTACAAATCAGTTTAAAATACACATATACTAATATATAACATGGATATAGGTACATACACATTTAATAGATGATGGCTGCACCAATGTACATGTAAATGTATATATGTATATACACTAATATCCAAGTAGGGTATTTATATATGTGCATATACATATATAAATCTATATGCAAAATATTACTTAAGTTAAATTGCTTAACATGATTCTGCTTTCCTCTCATCTTAAAGTAATTGGGGCCAAGACCAGAATGCTGCCCCCGTTCTGTTTACAGGAATTTCTTTTGTAACGAATATTGTTTAATTCTCAACACCTTTTAAAGAGGTGTTTCCTCTTCAAAATATTTTTTTCTATTTCACAATAATTACAAGTAATATGAATGAGATATTAGCTGATTTAAAAATTTAAATTACTAGGCTGGCAAGATAGCTCAATGGAGTAAAGTGCCTGCTTAGGCAAGTGCAGGGATAGTGGCTAGATCTCCAGCACCACATGAGGCACCAGCCCTGCCCCCAATGTGGGCTGAACCAGCCAGAGTCCAGGCATAGTGGCGCACACCTATAATACCAGTGTCAGGGAGGCTGAAAGCAGAAGGATCACCATGAGTCCGAGCTGCATAGTGAGACCCTGTAACAACCAACTACATTAAAAAATAACTATTTCACCCTATGAAATTCCCCCAATATGTGTTTTTATATAGTGATGCTCAGATAGATGGAGTTCCAAAGATGCACACCAGAATGATGTGGAAATACACCATCACCAAGAGTGCCTGGAACACTTGAAGTCACAATGGTTGATAAATTCCAAGGACTACTTCTGAGGGTCACTTTGCAAAATAAACACAAAAGATAAGCAGAGCAATGTCCTTCTCCTCTATTTTTTTATCAATATCTTCCTTAGAAGCAGTTAGAAATTCTTTTACTGCAGTGTTTTTCTCAGATTGGGTTTCCTGCTTATGTTTCTG